ACCGTAAATGAAAAAAGCAGGTTCTAAAATCAATGGGCAGTATGATCATTGTTATTTATTTTTAAATTTTTAAAAATGTTTATTTTTGAGAGAGAGAGAGACAGAGTGTGAGCAGGGGAGGGGCAGAGAGAGGGAGACATAGAATCCGAAGCAGGCTCCAGGCTCCGAGCTGTCAGCACAGAAGCCGATGAGGGGTTTGAACTCATGGACCATGAGATCGTGACCTGAGCCAAATTTGGACGCTTAACCGACTGAGCCACCCAGGTGCCCCTGGGCAGTATGATGATAATTTAGCAGGAATTAAAACATGCACCAGAAAATAAGACTAAAAAGGAAAACTTCAGTATCTATGCAATGTTATAGTAGGGCTTTTTTTTCCCTTTACTTTTTCAAGTTTTTTAAATGTGCTTATATTGGCTTTTTAATGCAGGAAAGATACACAGTTAGCAATTTAGAAAAACAAAATCAAACCAAACAAGTTTTAAGCCTTCCTACTGCCTGCAAGATAAAGTCTAAACCTCGAAGCCCTGTCCAAGAAGCCTTCAGAATCTGACTCCTTGGCGGTCACATTCGAAGTGCTCTCGCCTGACCCAGCTTTCCCACCTCTAGAAATGGAGACTCACGGTGGGTAGACCAAGGATGCTCTCATAGGTTTGTTTGAAAGAGTGAATGGACGTCTCAGAAGCCCCAGTGTTGATCAGTGGCGAATTGGATTCGTGAATTATGCACACCTATACCGCGGAAAGCAACAGGACCCGTGAAAAGGATGAGGTGGATTTCTATGTACATTCTGGAAAAGAGGTCCCGATGTGTGAAGTGGAAAAGGAAATAACAGGACTGTGTATAGAGGCTGATCTCACTTCTATGAGGGGAAAGCCCCCATTTACAGACATGCATACCTATGGTCTTTCATAAATGTGTCGGGAAAGATCTAGAAAAGCATTATCCAATAGAAGTACAATATGAAGGGTGCCTGGGTTCGACTCTTGATTTCGGCTCAGGTCATGATCTCATGGTTGGTGAGTCTGAGCCCCGCGTCCGGCTGTGCTAGCATTCGCAGAGCCTGCTTGGGATTCTCTCTCTCTTTCCCTGTCTCCCTGCCCCGCCTTTGCTCGTACATGCTCTCTCTTTCTCTCTCAAAATAAATATAAACATTTAAAAAAGTAAAAAAAAAAAAAGGAAAGAAACCAAAGAAGTACAATATGAGCCAGATATATAAATTAAAATTTTCTAGTAGCCACATAAAAAACTGTGAAAAGGGCTGAAATTAATTTTAATAACATTGTAATTTAACCCACTGTGTCCAAAATATCCTTTTGACATATAATCAATATGAAAATGGTGGAGATACTTTATATTCTTGTCTCATACTAAGTCTAAGTACTCAGTCCAGTATATATTTTAGATTTATAGCACATTTCAATTGGAATGAGCCACATTTCAAGTGCTTGGTAGCTACATAGGGCTGG